TCTTATAATGTCTTGTTTAGCTATTTGAGCAACTGTAACTCAACCAATTTCCTCCCGGGGATCAATAAAGTATTTCTGATTCAGATTTTTCAACCTGCTTTTTTTTTTTATCCAAGAAACTTCAAACACACTGTTGCAAATGTTTAGACCTGAGGCTCAGGCTGCAACATCAAGCTTTTAACAGTTAGCCACAGCACTTCTAAATTTATCTTGAGGCATAGTGCAACACAGCCAAAATCCAAATCCAACCAAATGCCAGGTATCCATATATTTTAATGTACTGATGCTTCACTGACCAAAATAGGAACCTTTGTTAGTAATGAACATATGGAAGAAAAAACATACACAGGTGCCTTCCTCTTAATCACCCATCATACATTATTATTACATTAAGAGGATAAGTTGGATGGAAATGAGGTTATTTAATTAGCCTATTATTAATATTGTTTGTGCTATTTTTGTCTCTACAAAGTAAATAAAACTCCATAGTAAAAAGATAGTAAGTAAAATGTTAACAAAGTAAAACTACACTTAAGTATGATTAGAAACACGTTTTAATTATCAATAGTAAAACTATTTAAGGCAGAATGGCTATTTTCAGGTTGTTATATCTATTTAATTTGTCTTTTTCTGGTTCTTCTGTAAGTTGCAGTATGGCTGAAGTTTTAAAGAAATATTGAACTCTTTTACTTTACTTTTTAGCAATACCACATTATAAAAATACTCAATTTGAAGTAAAAGTAGCCTACTGCATTCAAAAGGACAGATGGCTTTTAACAACAAAATGGATTTGAAGCAGAGCTTTGATCGGTCCAGATATTCAGGTCCGACCCGTATAAATTATTAAATTATTAACAAATTCACTCATTTAATTACAGTTGCATGCATTATTAATAATACATATGTATATATAGCAAAAGAATAACAATTCTGTCCGAGCCCGACCCAATCCCGACCTATGGCAGCTGTTGTGGGCCCAAACCTCACGGGTTGTGTCAGGTCCAATCGGGTTCGGGCTGAAAATTAAAGTCTTATATGAAGTAGGTCTATCTAACTCTTTTTTATGAAGAGTTTGAGTTCATTCAAAACCAATGTACCACTCCATCCCTGCATGACAATAAAGCAGCTGCTTTATTATTTATTAAGCTAATAGCGTGTGCACCTCCCGCCTCACCTCCTCTGCCTCTCCCCGGTGTAAACCACGAGCTGCCAGTCCGGTTCTCAGTTCGTTGATGTCAACCCTGCCATCTTTATTCAGGTCCAGCTGCTTGAACATCTCCGCATACCTCCTCTCTCGGTCCGGGTCCAGAGACGCTCCACTGTCTCCGCTCTCTTCGCTTCCTCCGCGGCGAGTCTGGGCGCAGAACTGCTCCTCGTCTTCGCCCATGTGAAAGAGAAAACGCCGGGTTTCTGTACCGGTCGACCGGCGAGCAACGAGTGCTAGGTTTGTCCGCGTTTCCAGAAAGACCGGACCGCTACCTTCACAGTTTACCGGAACGGAGGCGGCTAAACGGAGGAGAGCTGAGCGTGACTGCGCTGTTCGTCCACTCCTTCTGCCGAGGAACTTCTCTCCAGACGGACGGATGGATGGATGGATGGATGAATGTGGCTTAGACAAACTCTCGATTAATCCCCGTGTCAGTTACATCCTCCGTCACACCGGCACGCGCAAATCCATGAACTCATTCACATGAATTAAAGTTTCCGTCACAGGAGGCGCTCGCGACTGAGCGGTCGGTTTTTACCGCAGTCTCTGACACATCTGTGCGCGCGCGAGGAGCCCAATATTTTTTTCCAACAAGGTTGGATTATTGTTTGTGTTTTACAGCCAGCGCGGTTTAACACCCCACAGCAGCACGGGGAGAGTGGCTAAAACGCGTTTAGCTCCGCACATTTAATCCACCCACTCTCTCTCTCTGACGCCGCGCGGCACTGCTGCATCACATCACGTAGGGCAACTTCAACGCGCGCACTCGCAGCAGCTCGCAGGCGACGCTCGAGCGCAGGGACGTTAAGAGAGAGAGGGTAGTGAGGTAACACCGTTTACTACCTGTTATTGGTTTGGTGATTTCAGTAGTTCTGTTTTACATCTTCAATAATCATTTAAAAGATCTTTTAGGGGGCGTTTCCGTGGGTGGGGGGCGGTCAGATAGACTACCCCTCCATTATCCTTACATCTTCCACCCCACTAGGCTGTAGTAGGCTCCGTTTTATCATGCTAACGTGTCTCCTCGCATCCCTTGCTCGCTCCTTCCTCTATGGGAGAGAGATATGGAGACTTGTATAGCGCCTTCCAAGAACGACTTTTAAAGACGTGAAAGCCCATCAAACAGAAACGAACTAATTCACTTAAATTCGGGGTTCAGTATCTTGCTCAAGGATACTTCGACATGTGTCGGGAGGAGCCGGGGATCGAACCAACAACCTTCCGATTAGTGGACGACCTCTTCCTCTGCGCCACAGCCGCCCAATATACCATATATGCTCTATAACGACATATATAGGCCATATAAAACTTTTTAAATCATTTATAATATGATGATACAACACTGAATGACCTATTTCTGTGTAACGAGTAAAACCCTGGAAATAGCCATTTTGCATAATGGATATTTTTTATGTAATACAATTTTGATATTGTAATTATTCTAATTAATTAAAACGTGGGTTGGACTATGCTTATATGTACTTTTACTTTGGTAACATTTTGCATGCAGGATAAACAGTACATAATACTACTACTAATAATAATAATAATACTAATAATAATAATAAGATCTGAATACTTTATCCACCACTGTGTTATTTGGCAGTGCTGTAGATCACTGTGTGACAACCACTGATAGCTGGGCTTGGGTATTAATAGCATTAATAATGGGGATTGTGAGCTGTGACGCGCAGCAGAGGATAGTGAAATGCCTGGTCAGCATTCACAGGATAGGGCAGAGAGAGAGAGAGAGAGAGATTAAAATGGTCTCACACAGACCTTTATTGATGTCACATTGACTTTAGCCAAATATTTGTATTAACATTTTAAAAATTCAGCTGACACATTGATCCAGAGACAACATACAGTGGGCCATAAAGGTCAGAGCTGCTGTTCCCTCACAATATTTCCAAATTCCAATGTTAGGGACTTCTTGGTCCAGCCTCAAATTTCTCATCCACAGAGAAAAACATATCTGGATGTGGTGTCTGACTGTTTCCAAACCATTTCTGTGCTGCTGTAAGAATGGCTATATATGTAAATGATTGCACTCCGTGGTACGTTTTCATGCACTCTAGTCATTCATATGCCTTTCATTCATGTCAGAAAATGTGACGTGAAATCCTCAGTAGCCTCTGCATTTGTAAGAGCGCTCAGTCACAAACAGTTTGTTGCTTTCCAGCAGTGATGGAAGAAGTCCTGCATTCAAAAACTTACCAACTGTAAAACAAAAAGGTAAAAGTATTATCAGTAAAATGTTCCCTGTGAGTGTGTTTTTGGATTTGGACCGTTGCATGTATAACATCTTTTGCCTACCTACCCTTTCCTCACAGCCTTTTGTGCCATTCTGCCCGAATCAGTGCATTTTCCATCCCAAACACATTACATGCATAAATATGCATACAAATATTTATATAATACCTTATATTATCAATCAACGTGTCTGAACTTTGTTCTAACTGCAGTTTGAAGCTATATTATGAAATAAAAATTACATAGAACACTGAAAATAAATAAATAAATACACTTCACCATGAAATACAATGATTACAATCCTTCACACTTTTTTTTGCATTATTGTGTGACTTTTTCCAAATTAGACTTAAAATACACATTTTATTTGTCTCCCTCGGTTTTCACTTAGTCCTCTTACCCTGACATATTCCCCCCTCTCTGAAAGAAAATTTGGGACATTTCTCCAGTCACATGACCAACAAGAAGTAACATCAGAGCTTCTGAAGGCAAAGAAGAAAAGAAATGGCCAGAGATGAACAATAACAAAGTTTGAATAGTTAAAAAACGTGTGTGTTATTAGATACAGTGCTGAAAAAAGATATATATTAGATCTTAATTGATCAGTGTATCTATTATTTTACTGTCACCACTGCCTACAATCAAGATTCTTAGTGGAAATTATAATATGCAGAATTGTTGTAAATAAAGTTGTAAGAATGAAACAAAATGAGGAGGGAAACAAAAGAAGACGTTTGGCAGAAGAATACATAAGAAACACATCCTAAGTAATCAGGACATTTACATAGATGGTTCTAAAGGTACGCATGGCAAAGTAGAATGAATGGATCCATTAAATTAATAAGAGAAGACTTAGTATTAGAAATTCATCGGAGCCGTTACCTGCTCATATTGGTATTAAAGGGAATGAAGGAACAAAATGGCCAACAGTACAACAAATAAGGAAAGTATTAGATATACATAGATATCCCTTTTGGTAAAGGGGAAGGAAAAGCAATAATTAAAAGTATGGGACAGGGATGATATTACAAAGTACAGAAATCAATAAATGCACAGTTTGTTAGGAGGAAAAATAGGAGAGAGGGAGTCATTTTAACTAGATTAAGGTTTGATCACACAGGTCTTAACAACAATCTATTCATAGAGGGGAAAACAGGTCAGAAGAATGCTCCCATTGCAAAACAGTAGAAAATGTAGAACACGCACTTAAAAAATGCAATAAATATAAGGAAGAAAGGGAACTGCTTGTGCGAAGGATCAGGAGGTAGAGAATGGAACATGGAGGGAATACTGGAGAAAACTGGAGAAGGGGTAAAGGATGCGCAGAAAGGTATAATAGAATTTTTGAATGATACGATGACAGCTAAGCCAGGGTAGTTTAGGGGTGAAGATTGTAATTTAATTGAATTTAATTGAATTTAATTCAGTTCATACTTGGTAGTAATGTAAAACCCATGTCTGCTTACTCCTGTACAGTAGGCGGCGGTATGCTCATTCAAAGTAAACAATTGCGAAGAAGAAGAAGAACCCCCGACCCCCCCGCCCCAACCCATTGAGACGCTTGGCTGCTGCTGCACGCCGCACATAAACATCTTTATGATATATTGCCTCCCTAAAAACAACGGCACCGAAGTCAGACAAAAACAAGATGCCTTTGCCTGTGCAAGTGTTTAACTTCCAGGTAAGTGGTAGCCGTTGCAGCGCTTGTCTTTTCCAACCAGCAAAGCTTGAACGGGATGCATCTTCAGTACCAGCGGCGTAACCTTAGCAGCTAGCCAGCTAGGTTAGCTACAGAAACTTAGCTATGGTTCAGCTCATGATCCCAATTTAACCCAACGCAAGCATCATTAGCTACTTGTGTTTTATTGGGAGCACGAATCAATAACGAAACAATACGTTGGTGGTTTAAAAGTTAGAAGAATTAACGTTAAGTCTTCAAATTGTTGGCATGTTAAAAAAACGTTAAAAGGTTGACATTACTGCCCTCAACGTTGCAGTGCATCTTCGTGAAGTAAAGGGATAGCGTTAATGAATTCCATATTAATGAATACTGCTTGGGGCATTGTATTATGCCATTAAGGAATGGTCCTCAAAATTTTACAAATGCATGTATGTTTGCCAGTGAACCATTAGAAACTGGGATTGTTTTAATGGAGTTTGGAAGTAACTGCTAACAACAGACTGAAGGCCTCTGTTTGCTAACAACATTAACGTTAGTAGTGACGGTTCACTGCCAAAACAGAACTGACGGCAGTAGTTACCTTTTACTGAAGTATCGTATATTCATCGTATGTTTGATTCTTCGTTAAAGCGAAAAAAATACAGAGACTTTAGAACAATTTGTGTTTATCTTTGTAGCTAACGAGAGCTAGCATTACCGAGCAGACTTCCTGTAATTTGCAGTTTGTTACATTAGCTCGACATAGCAGGGAGACAGACAGGTAGACAGACTAACACACTGTATACAATTCGCAAGAAGTTTCCTGTGCTAGCTAGCATAACGTTGGTTGTATCCGTGGCGACGCCAAACTGCCGTTAAGAATCAAGCATGGACATTTTTCCTTGCAAGGCTGTTGTGAGTAATTGTTGTCCACCGTTAAAATACGCATACATACTGTATATCAACTGTGCAGGGTATTTCCAATACAGTTAATCCTCACATCGCCATTCACCAATGCATTGACAACTACCATTAGCAATATAAGGCTTTCTTGAAGGCTTGCAGTTAAGTGATGGGCGCTTATTTAATATAAGTATTGAAGCTGCAGTAAATCATTTTTAAAAAATGGCTGTTTTCGTTCAGGCCCGATGGATTCTTGCAAATGCCATTAGGAGCTCTAGGAGGAGCCAGATTTTTTCACAGATTATCTGTCTCGTTCTGCTGACAGGATACAGTCAAAATTTCACCAAATATGACAAAAAGTTGTTTTTATAAAAGTTACCTTCTGCAGCTTTAATAATATCTTTATACAGCACTTTTCAAAAACAGGTTACACAGTGCTTTACAAAGACATTAAAACAAGATGAATTTGCAAATAAAAATAAATAAATAATATATATAGCGAGGCATGAATTACTAAAACACACTAAAAAACAGTGATTGGAATTTGTTAACCAACATCACTCATAAAAACATAAGAGTGACAGATTTAAGAGAAAGCCATTCCTAACAAGTGTGTTTTTAAGAGAGATTTAAAAGAAAAAACAGAGCTAGCCTGACGATCTCATCCGGCATGGGGCTGTGACTCCAAAGACTTGGCCTCTTCTGGTTTTTAACCTTGACCTACTACCAGTCCACTGACAGAGGGCTACATTCAGGCTCCTAAGGGGTTAGTAAGTCAGTGACATAATCGGGGGCTCACCGTTTCCAGATTGTTGGTGGATAAAAAAAGATCTATGGATGATGGATGATGGAATGACTAACTTCACCTGTTGATCAAAGTTTATTATCAAAGAAACATATTTCTGAGCCCACTGCAACCGTTTCTGCTTGTGAGCATTGTTTAGGGGTGGCTGAATAATAGGTTTATGCACACTTGCAAACCTCTGGAGGATCCTACACCTTGAGGTTCGCGGGACTCCAGAGGCACCTGCTTTTCAATGGCATTTTAGCAGCTGCTCTCCTAATCCTACGAATTTGTCTGGCAGAAACCTTCCTCATTATGCCTTTATCTGCACGAACCCGTCTGTGCTCTGAATCAGCCACAAATCTCTTCACAGTACGATGATCACACTTAAGTTTTCTTGAAATATCCAATGTTTTCGTACCCTTGTCCAAGGTATTGCACTATTTCACGCTTTTTGCAGCAGAGAGATCCTTTCTTTCCCATATTGCTTGAAACCTGGCCTGCTTAATAATGTGGAACATCCTTCTTAAGTAGTTTTCCTTTGATTGGGCTCACCTGGCAAAACTAATTCATCTGACAGATGTCTGAGATTGATTTCAATGATCCAAAGAGCCCTGAGACACAATACCATCCATGAGTTTAATTGAAAAACTGAAAATTAAATGTTTATGACACTTAAATCCAATGTGCATAATAATTTGGAATGCGGTGTACAGTGCCAACACTAGCTAACTGTCGCTGGTGTGGTTCATATTTCAGGAACCTTCAGAGAACGTCACTGACCGTCGAGGAAAGTGGATCTTCCGGCCGTCAGACTTTTGTCGCTCTGCAGAGAGAAAGAAGAGACGCTGACTCGTACACATCCTCACACTGAATACAGGTGGTTTTATTTCTGCTTCCTGTCTCACCCTTCCTGTCTCACCTCTTTGAGGAGCCTCAGCAGGTTCTTCTTGCTGCTGCTCTCTGCTGCCTGCTGGTCTGGGGTCAGTCTGCTGAAGTCTCTGCAGCGCTGAGGCTTCAGATCGTTACGACCGTACAGACGACCTTCGATACTGTTGAAGATGACCGACAGGGACCTGGGCAACAGGCCGCTGTCGTGATCCGGACCTGAGAGACAGACGGGAGGAGAGACAGACAGTCAGAAAGCCTGCAGCACACACCGGATAGAAACCAGAGACAGTCAGAGGAGCCCAGACGTCTGGATTGTGTTGTATTGTGTTATATTGTATTGT